TCATAAAAGAGAAAGTAGAGTTCTAACTTCACTGCCATCCTAGAACCACAAGGAATCTAAATCTTCCAACACACCAGTTGCTATGAGTGGCAGAGCTGTGATGCAGAAAGAACCTGGATCTTTGATGACCTACTTCTAGACCTCCTCTTATAAAAACTATTAAGTTCCCTCATTACTTAAATTGGTTTTATATTTGTGCCCCCCAAACACCCTAATTTACACATTGTTTTCCAGGTTTATTACTATATAAGAATGTCATCCATGTTCATTTGAATGTTAGCAAAAACAAAAAACTATCCTACTTTAAACAAACTGATACACATATCAGACTCATTAAAATAAAAAGGTTTCATTGACAGTTAAATAGGAGTATTCCAATAACTCTCTTTAATAATTTCTGGACTGTTTCCTTTAATATTTATCAATAAAGTAGAAAATTAATAAAAACATTTAGAAAAATCAAACTCTCAATTTGACATAAAATTTAAAGCTCAAAAAGGTATAACTTGTTAGACCCTAAAATATTAGTCATATTTATACTATTTAAGTCACAACAAAAAGAAGAAAAGTTGTTTATGCTTTTATATAGTTGACTTTAGCTTTATTAAAAATCTTTAGAATTTGCTGCCCGTGAGTCATATTAATGGAATACATGGGTAGAATGGATTAATTGCAACCTATAAAGAGGCTGAAGTGTTTAACCATTTGTTATATTCCCAACTTCACCATGCTGGATAAACTACTAAAATACACATGAAGATGTTTCTAATGAGTAGTAATTTAAACAATAACAACCGCAAAAAGGCAAGAAAGGAATAAAAGGACAGAAGATAAAAACTGGAATAACTAGTTCCTAAAAATGGAAAAGGGCAAAGGGAGGAAGGAAGGAGTAAAACACTCAGAATTCTTTATGGATAGGTGCCAATCTGACACATGTACAGATCGTGTGTTATATAAGGTAGATCGATGCTTATACCAAAATCGCTTTAGCATGCATTTAAAATTAGAGAAATTGTGTTTTCTAAAGGAATTTAGCTTGTTTTACAAACACATCAGGTAAGCATTAATTCACCCACCTTCACTAATGTTATGGTATAGGTATTCTGAAGAATTATTCATACCATAAATACACAAAAGAATAGATTTAAATTGGAGCTGAAAAAATTTGAGTCTTCAAAGAGAAGCTGGTTGTTCCTGGAAAGAATGTAAATAGACCACCTTTAACACAGATAGGACAACAAAAGATAACCTTTTTAATTGGAAAAGGCTCCCTACAACCTAGGATCACTCCCTGCCTGGGGACAAACCTGCTCACAGCTATAGTTCAAACAGGCCAAAAAAAAAGCAGGCAGGGCTGGTGGAGTCAGGAACATGTGTGACTTCCTACCTAAAATTAGCCATGCCCATTTCACCACAAGCTGGGTTGGGCTCCTCTATTTTAAGGTGTGCAGCTCCAGATTGCTTAAGAGCATATAATTGCTGGCCAGTTTCTGGAGTTAAGAGTGTCAGCAGACTTTCCACCAAGTCTTTAGAATGGACATCTTTGTCTCCACAAAATCCCACACTTAATCGCCAAGTTATCTAGCATCTAAGTACATGGCAAGTGAAATCACACACTGGAAATATCCATGAAAACATATCACACAAGGACACATCAAAAAGGAAATAAGCAAAAAGAGACAGCCCTTATTCCTTTCCACTACACGTCCCCCTGATGCACACATATTATATATGACAAAAATAGGGGGGGAAACTGACAAAAGTGTCCTCGTCTTTGCAGGAAATTATATAGAACTGACAGTTGAAACCCTTCCAAAGTAATGTCACACCATTATTTACCTCCCTCTGAAAGTGCTTTGCTACTGGAGTAAATCCAACAGAAGGGGCTATTCAGTCTGTATTCTGCATTCCGGAAACATTAGAAGGGAATTGGTGTGGCTTCATTGTACCAGCAAGAGATTTTCACTAATGTTTAAAAAAGGAACTAAGTTTTCAAAGACAAATGAAAGAAAATGAAAAGGTGTTCATTACCGCCAAAACGATCGATCACTCTATCAACAAATGATAAAGCTGAGTTCTAAGTTATATGGCCTTAATGTACACCTGAAATTTAAGCTGCACAGATAACATTCATGGTTTCTACAATCTCATGGCAAAAACCTAACATCTACTTTACTAACAGCACCTTGAGACACTAGATGCAGAATATACATTTAGTACCATTATTATCCTGATACTATCATGTTCTAGCAGTCTACAACACTAACACTTGTTTTGATAGACTCAGTTATTTTAAGAATGAACAAAACACACATACCTTCATTTTCAGAGGCATGACATTTCACTTTCAATACCAAGTCAAAGGTTCTTTCTGGATTTTCCCTAAAAGAAAAAGAACTTTATTTATTTCCTGTGACAAATAAGCATCTTTGCAGAGTTTATATTTTCTTAACTCAAAAAACTAATCATCTTCTTGTTACAATGTAATCTATGTAACTATATGAGCACAATGCAGAAATAACAGTTTTTTCCCAGTTCAGTAATGTAAGAGGCTTAGGAGTTCTGAGACCCGGGGCAAACATTTAACCTCTGAGCCTATTTTCTCACCTATAAAGTGCCTTGCTCACTTCAGAGAATAGTTGTGAGTATTATAAATCAACTAATTTATGTGGAAGTACTTTTTAAAAGTATTAAGTGCTTTATAAATGTGAAGCATTGACTTTATCTTATTGAATCAAAATTGGAAAGTCAGTATGCTAAGTATTTCTACCTTTTCCTGCCAACAAAGCCGGCCAGCAGGTTCTCAGGCTTTTTTTTTTAAAGGATTTACAGTATAAGTGTAAATGATGAATACCTGGTTCCACCTGCCACATTCTAGACCACCATAAAACAGTTACGATGCTCCTAAATTTGACACTTTGCATATGCTTCTCTTGAAATATAATTATTGCAAAGCATGTTTAAAGTAGCAAACTGTACATAAACTACAAGGCTAAAAAGAACAACAACAAAAACCTTGTTTTACTTCAATTATCTTTAGAGAAATTAGAAAAAGGCATCTACCTTAATACTAGATTTTCCCACCAGGTACAGTAAGATTGCTTTGCTTCATTCAGAAGTTATCCACTTCTTTGTTAACTTCTCACACATTCAACCAATTCATTGGTTTAGTTTCAAAAAGCAAACTGAAATCTACTGAGACACATTTTCTTTAACAGTTTTGTTTTAATCTCCTTCTGCTAGAAGATAAAAGATGAAGCAAAATCTGATACCACAATGTCCACGTGACCAAAGTGTTAATCTATCTGTTATTCCTGCGAAGGAGACCTTAGCGTCTTTGCATATTGGCTGTTTTAAAAATGTACTTCCTTTAATAAAGAATGCCAGTTTTGGCTTCTAAATAAACACTCGTTTTTTCTAAATTTATTACAAGAATCTAGAATCACAGGAAGTGACAAGCTATATAAATTAATTTGCAAATATACATTTCCTCAGCCTTCCAACTAGTAACTTGTTTCAATGGAAATAATATGGATTTAGGTGACCTCCTCCCTCCTAATCCAATTAATGTCAAAAAGTATACTTTTTAAATCACTTACCCTGCCCCCCCATGTCAAACACTGAAGAAAATAATAATTTTCCCATTTTCCTAATATTTTTTGGAATCTCTTAGGTGTAAAAATTAAATATTGATTCAATTATACTGTGACATTTTACAAGCCTTTCACACTTATACAAATACACATAATATTCCTTATTTTAAACTGGGGGCGTGGTGTGAAGAGGGAGTAAGGGAAGAAGAAATTCTTCGCAAAGTAAGTTTCAGGAAAAAAACAAAACAAAACATAAAACTCATACCTCTAAGACCCAAAACAAAATCACCCCACTTCCTCAAATTGCTTTTTACATAATTAATCTCCTGATGAAAAATATCCATTGATACGGACACATAAAAACACTATCTAATTGGATACCATTTTGCAAGCACCATGCATACACCCAGTGCCTCTGTAAGTAAATACCTATCAGAGGCCACTTTAATTTTATGAGAAAAACTGGAAGAAAACATCTGGGAAACTGGTAACTATGCTTAACTATGCTTAAAAATGAAATGCTTATCTTCACGTTAGGGAAAGACTTTAAATAATAACCGCTTAACCTCAACGCTGTCGCCTCCGGGACACCAGCGAGACACAGACAACCGACAGTCACGTCTGCCACACTCGGGGAGGAACGAGAAACCCACAGCGGGCGGTGGCAGGAGCCGCCAGGCCTCCACCACTGCCTAGAGACGCGGGCGTCGACGCGGCGCTCCCGGCCGCTCCCGGAGGAGCGCCGCCGACGCCGGCGGGCCGGGCAGGCTTTGCGGCCTAGCGCCGTCCCGGCGGCCGGCCGCGCTCGGGGGGCCGGGCCGAAGTCGCCGTCTGGGGGGCCGGCCGCCGCGGGACGCCCCACCTCCCTCCCGCCCGCGACCCCCACTCACTTGGTCCTGCAGTCCATGGTTACATGTCGCTGTGACGCTGTCCGTCCCGCCCCCGCGCCGGCCTGGAAGCCCACTGCCCCGCGCTGGGAGGGTCGCGCCGCCCCCGCCCCCGCTGGCCGCCCCGCGGGGAAGGAGCTACTCACAGCGGCGGCGGCGGCGGGCCCATGTCAGCGGCGCCCCCGGCGCTTCCCCGCCTCCCACCCCACCCCCCAGAGCCTTTTTGTGACAGCAGCAGCAACGGCGGTGGCGCGGCCGCCGCCCCCGTCTTCGCCGGCCGCCGCCCCCGCCGCCTCCGAGGCTGGGGCCTCTCAGTTCCTGCGACCGGGGCCGCCCGCCGCGGCTCCTGCACCGTCTGCAAACCAGGAAGTCGCCGGGAGGGGGAAGGGGCGCGCGGGGGCGCGCCCGCCGGCCTCACCTGGGCCGCGCGGCCCGCGGGCCGGAGCCTGAGGAGAAGGCTGGGCGGGGTCCCCGCGCCCAGAGTGGCCGGCGGGTCGCGGGGAGCGCAAGTGTCTTCGGGGATGGCCCACGTACCGCTGTGTAACTGAGCCAGAAACGCAAGGTGCCCCCTGTGTCCTCGGCCCTGGACCAGCCGACTTCCTTTCTGGGTCCAGTCCAGGCTCCAGGGCTACAACCCACCCCAAAAGCAAAGTAATTGAAATAGTACCTCGATTTGCAGTCTTTTCCACACCATATGCACACGGAATTGGATCACTAATTAATAGGTATTGTTTGCTAGGACCTTCGTCGTTTTGGGGCGTTTCATTTCGCTTCAGACTGCACTTTCGGAGCTCAGGTTGATGCTCCTGACTCCGGCCTCACTCCGGCTGTGGCCTGGTTACCGCTCTCTGAAATCCAGAGCTGCCCCCCTCCTGATTCAGGAATGTTCAGACATGTGCACCTGCTAAATAGACTTGTCAAGTAGCGTAATGGTAGTGCTCCACTTGCCGGCACATATGGGAGCCAGACGTTCTTACATATACCACAGGACCGCAGAACGCCAAACACTGACTTTGGACACATTCTCCAAGCGGCAGGCCTCGTAGAACTGCAGCCTAGGAAGCTCAGGGAGGGCACAACTGAGGGGAAGACGGGCCAGTATAAAAAGCTAAAATTTACAGGGCACTAAAGTCCCTGTTAAGCAGGTTATATGCATTGTCACAGTACTTGCCATAACTCTATGTGATAGATACTCGCATCAGCGTTTTATGGATGAAGAAACAGGCCAAGCTAATCCAGTAGGTGATGGCAGAGCTGGATTTCAGAACAGGTCTGCTCGATGCTGATAATTTCCTTCTACCACGTACTGCCTCTCCACGTTCTGCTGCCTTATATCTAGAATCTACTGAGAAGAGATGTAGAAAAAGTCTTGATTGTCCAGGACTGGACTCTGACACAGAGATCTTCAGGAGAAGGCTTCTCCCGCCAACATTCCCACACTTGACACATGGCCACAGTGTTTTTCAGCCACATAGGGGTTGCTGCAGACTTTATTCATGCACAAGGTAAGATGATGAGAGGAAACCAAATGTGGTATGAATAGAGTATGAGTCATGAGACATAAAAGTCATACAAGAAGTCTTGGGAATTAAAGAATTCAGAAGCAAAAACCTAACATTAAATTCAGTTACGCAGATCTTAAATGTTCTTGCCAAAGGTAGGTGTTACTTGGTCAAAAAAACGAAATATATTTTGTAGACACAGACCTGATAGTTAAAAATAAGGTCAGGACATAATAGGGAAACAAAAATATTAGATTTAAGCATGATATGTGCTGTCATAGCTTGACTTGGGGTGAGACACTTCAGTTTCTCAGTTCCTACATTTGTAAAATGGGAATTATTACTTGTATATCACATGAGCAATGTGATATTCAAGTTAAAAAGTACTACACATTTGTGTGATCTTTTAGGAAATTATTCTGTGGATTTCAGTTTCACAATTAGGCAGTCTATACCACATAAATTTTTTCCCAAATGAAGCTTTTTTCTACCTAAGAGCTTACCATAGTCCAAAGCCTTGAAAAAAATTCTGTAAACTAAAAACCACTTCTGCTCCAAGTGTTACTAAATTTCTCAAACTTCTCCTTTCATTATAATTAACTCTTTTCCCAAGAAAAGGAACCCTACCTGGGAAGATGCCTACATCAGGAGTATTTGTTAGTGGTAAGAAAATATTAATACAGTTGTTTTCCCTCTCCATTTGTTGGGATTTAAGTGACAGTCATACCCCTGCATAATATAAAATGTTATTTTTTTAATCTAAAGTATATGAAGGGAAAACACTGCATATGCGCACACAAAGCAAATCTTTTTAAACCAGCTCTTAGGCTGACCATGATGAGGAGATTTATTTATCTGTTCTGATATTACTGAGTTAAAAGGGATAGGAACACAGAAGGACACAATTTGCATGATTTGTTAAAAATTACTAAAAAAGGAAATTTTTATACACTTATTTTGGTGATATGTTTAATGAAGCCAGTAGTATAATTTTAGCAATGTTCATTTCATATGGAACTTCTGATATGACCGATAGAGAAGTGTGCAAAGGGCGAGCCTTCAAGTTGGTATTATATCTTCACAAGATCATATTTCAGCAATAATATTTCTTATTTGACAATTGATACTAACATTTTTCAGGACCACAGTAGTCAAAGAACATGGTCTATATTGTTGCCAAAGAACATAGTCTATAAACTATTAGTCTTTTTTCAGTGTTTTAAGCTCATTTTAAATTTTTGGCATGTGTTTATAAAGAGTGTGTGTTCAGCAGGTCTTGGGCAAGGTGTTCTAAAATATGTCCTTGATCAGAACTTGCCTATGGTTTTGCCATAGCTTGCTTGCCCCAAATTGCAATTATGTGCTATTCCCAAATAAACCCATTTTTTGCTGGAAAAATAACTGACAGTTTTATTTTTAAGGTTAACATTATTTTGGTGATCAGAAATGGGATCCAGAGAAGACCCTCAGCAACTCTGATGCTGGTGAGCAAACAGATGCCACAGAGTCGATTGGGCCCATTGCTTTCTTGCCAACCCTGGAGTTTGAGGGTAAGATTTTTCCTGGATTTAGAGCTCCACTCTCTTTGTGTTTGAGCTCGCCAGGCTTTATTCAGGTTGTATTTTTAAGGCCTATCCTTTCTGAGAGTACTTGTTTGTTCTTTGGTCTTACTCCTTTTTCAGAACCAGATTGTTTCTAGTGGAACTGTGCCTGTTAGAAGTGTGTTGGCCTTGGGCGCCTGGGTGGCTCAGATGGTTAAGCGTCTGCCTTTGGCTCGGGTCCTGATCTCAGGGTCCTGGGATCGAGTCCCGCATCGGCTTCCCTGCTCAGTGCAGGGCCTGCTTCTCCCTCTCCCTCTGCCACTCCCTCTGCTTGTGCTCTTCTATCTATCTCTCTGTCAAATAAATAAATAAAATCTTAAAAAAAAAAAAAAAGAAGTGTGTTGGCCTTTAATCCAATTCCTTTTCAGAACCCGACTGTTCCTGATGGAACTGTGATGGCCTTCCGTTTGATTCTTTCTGGAACCAGGATGCTCATGTTGAAACTGTGGTGTTAAGGAGTTTTTCTCTTTGCTCTAGAAAAACCTCTATAAAATGGAATCCCACTCATCAAAAATGCTTTGAAAGTAGTGGGTCCACCCACTACTGGGACCCTAGTGGTTTTATGTTTAAAAACTATGGTCCCTCTTCAGTGCATTTCTAACCTAAATGGATCAACTTAACCAAAAGTAATTTAGAACTTCAGTGGCCATGATGGGGAATTTCAATCTCCCCAAACTTAACTTGTTTTTCTTAAAATTAAATTAGAAAGCTGCAGCTCCTAAGAAAAACAAAACAAAACAACAAACAAACAAAGACCTTGATCAAGTATTATGATGGTGTTATTGATATTTTCTATTACTATGATTGTGCTATTGATATCTTATATAACTGAATTTGCATCTGCTTGGCAATTCATTCATGGGAGAGATGACTTAAAATTTCCTAATATGATGGCAGATCTGTCTATCTTATAGTTCTGTCACTTTTTGCTTTATGTAGTTGGGGTCTGTGTCATCATAAGCAAAGCAGTTTATAATTATTTTATTTGCCTGGCAAATTTATCATTATGTTGTGACTTTCTTTAACTCTAGTAATTCTTTTGCCTTAGCATTTAAATGGCTTTCTTCTGATTAGTATTTGCCTAGTATTGGTATAACTCTTTTCACTCTATTACATTAAAACTTACTAAGTCATTATATTTCAGATTTATCTAAGTAGGGTTAATTTTGACTTTTAGTATGGTCTAATAATCTTTGACTCTTAGATCAAACATTTAGATCATTGCATGTTTTATAATTGCTGATATATTTAAATGTATTTGTCATCTAATGTTGTGCTCCCCATTTGTTTTCTTCTGATCTATGTGTTGGGGTTTTTTTCCCCATTGCCTTCTTTGGGATTATTGACTGTTTTTGTTTTGTTTTGTTTTGTTTTGTTTTAAGATTTTATTTATTTATTTGAGAAAGAGAGAATGAGAGAGAGAAAGCACATGAGAGGGGGGAGGGTCAGAAGGAGAAGCAGACTCCCCGCCAAGCAGGGAGCCCGAAGCGGGACTCGATCCCGAGACTCGATCCCAAGACTCCAGGATCATGACCTGAGCTGAAGGCAGTGGCTTAACCAACTGAGCCACCCAGGCACCCCTATTGACTGTTTTTATGCAGCCACTTTTCCACCTAGATTCTAATTGGGAAGTTATATACTCTATTCCTGTTTATTTAGTGGTTATCCTAGAAATTTTAACTGATTAAATTCAGAATTTATCAATCCATCAACCTTCTCCCAGGCAGCACAAGGACCTTTAAAACACTTTTAAAACTGACTTTCATCAGTCCTGGAAAATTCTGAACTCCATTCTTTCTCCCCTTTCCTTCTGGGACTCTTACTATATACACATTCTCATTTACCCTCTGTATGTCTTAACATTTCTTTCATAGTTTCTTCTTCTTTTTTTTTTTTTAATTTTCCTAGGCTGAATTCTGGATAATTTTGCAGATATCTTTCTGTTCATTAATTCTTTCTCTGGCTGTTAAATCTTCTGTTAAAGCTATCCATTTAGTTTTTAATGTGTATTATTTTCATTTCTAAAGTTCTGTTTGGTTATTTTATTTTTTTTTAAAGATTTTATTTATTTTTTGATGGAGAGAGACACAGCGAAAGAGGGAAAACAAGCAGGGGGAGTGGGAGAGGGAGAAGCAGGCCTCCCACCGAGCAGGGAGCCCGATGTGGGGCTCGATCCCAGGACCCTGGGATCATGACCTGAGCCGAAGGCAGACGCTCAACCATCTGAGCCACCCAGGCGCCCCTGTTTGATTATTTTAAATCTACTTTCTCTTCATTCATATTTTTAAGCCTCTCCTTAATTTCTCAAGATATATTTAACATACATATTTTCAATTCTATTTCTGATAATTCCAATATCTAAAGCATTTGTGAGTCTGATTCTACTATCTGATTTTCTTCTGCTGGCTCTTACTTACAGTCTCTTGTTTTTTTCTTTTGATTTCTTTTTATGTTACCTGATCCTTGGAGTTTTATGTGCAGAAATATAATGAGATCTGAAAAGAGGAGTTCTCTGGAAAGAATATTCATTTACTCTTGGTAGATGTCTGGAGGGTCACTACCCAGTCAGGGCCCTTTCATACTAAATTCTCAACTTGAAATTTTTCAAACCACCCATGTGAGATCTGGTTTATAGTTATGAATCCTTAGGGGCACCTGGTGGCTCCATCAGTTAAACGTCTGCCTTTGGCTCTGGTCATGATCTCAGGGTCCTGGGATGGAGCCCTGCATCAGGATCCTTGCTCAACAGGGAGTCTGCTTCTCCCTCTGCCCTTCACCTTGCTCATGCATGCTTGTTCTCTCTCTCTCTCAAAATAAAATCTTAAAAAAAAGATCCCCCCCCCCCTCCAATTCTGCTCCAGTGTTTTGAGACAATCAGTTTTGCTTGAATCCCTTTGGAATGCCAGGTTATGAGGGTATCCTATTGAACTCCTTACATTAGGAAGGTCCTCAAGCCCCATGAGGCTGTAATAACAGGTTCTCAAGCTCATCTAGCTTAACAAATACCTTCAAGATGAACGGTGGCTCTGGTGGCTACTTTTACTTATTCCCAACCTGCACCCCCCCACATACACACTACCACCACCAAGTATTCCTTATTTCCTTGACTACTCTTGAATGCATTTAGTACTTTTTAAAGGTTTAATTCTAGGGGTGCCTGGGTCGCTCAGCTCGTTAAGCGACTGCCTTCAGCTCAGGTCATGATCCTGGAGTCCCGGGATCGAGTCCTGCATCGGGCTCCCTGCTCAGCGGGGAGTCTTCTTCTCCCTCTGACCCTCCTCCCTTTCATGTTCTCTGTCTCTCATTCTCTCTCTCTCAAATAAATAAATAAAATCTTAAAAAAAAATAAAGGTTTAATTCTAAATTTTTAGTTGATGTCAATAGAAGTTTTGACGAGACATCACAATTGCCTAGTTTTCAATACATATAAAATGTACTAGCAAGAACTTTTTATCTACCTAATAATATCCAACTTGCTTAAGCCATACCCAAATAGTCCCTGAATAATATATTTTTATATACTAATAGTGTGGGGGAAATCTAAGTTCAGTGCCTTTAGTGAGACACCTGTCCTTCCCAATGTACTGGGATAACCATAAAGGTAACTCCTGGTCCCCTAGCCCTCATCCATTTGTACAATGTATCCATGTGGAAATTTGCCTTAGACAGAAATGAAGAGTCACTAATACCCAGGAGTACCTGCCCTGATAGCTCCTTCCCTTTTGGAGTATGGAAAGAGAAACAATATTGTAAACTCTAGAATGGTATTTTTTATATAATACTGTTAATAATGCTTCAACTTCAATAAAACTTAAGTAAACTCATGGGCTGTGAGCCTCACCAATTGTTTTGAGTTCCAAACAATTAACTTAGAAATAAACTTTTAGACACAATCCCCTCATGAGTTATAGTCTGCGTGTATCCAAATCAGACATTCCCTAGAATCTAACTCTGTATTGCCTCCTATTAATGTTCTTAGGTGAAATTTATTAATAGTATCACCATCTTCATTTATTATAGGATAAAAATCCTTTATGTAAAGTATTTAATAAGTCAGATTTTCTTGAAGTCCTTAGAAAACAATCTTGAAAATATTTTAGCAGGAACTGCCTTTTAGTATCAGCTCAGATAGTGTTATTAACAAGAACATTCTCCAAAAATATTATTCTTTTTTATACTTAGCAGCAATATTATGAATTTGAATCTGAAGGTGAAATTCTACTTCAAAATGACATATGCAGTGCTTTTCAAATAGAGAGATGATAGAAGAGAATATTTGGGAGCAATATCTTTCCAGAAAGTATGCTTTCCCTGTTTCTGTCACAACTCATGGCCTATGTTAATTTGAAGGCTGACTCTAAGAAAAAAGTTCCAGTTTTGGAGACCAAAAGACTCTGATTATTCCTAACATCTTTATTACTAAATCTGAACATATCCAAATATTTATAAAAATCAAGTGGGAAATGATGATATTTGTTTCTTTTTCTGCTAAACTTTTAGCAAAAAGGATAGTAAAATTCTCAAAAAATAATACAGCAAAGACACTCTCTTTCCCCTGTATTTCAAGTGATTTGCCAAAAATCATATAATCAAATTCTCTTACCTCTGACGAGCTTCTGCTAGTTCATCTTTATCTTTATCTTGACACCTGCCAGACATTGGAAAACTTAAAATAGTCTTTGGCGTTAGGAAAAAACAATACTTGAAGCAGAGTATCACCAATAGACTGTAATCAGAGAAGACAAATTTTCTTTATGCACTCTTTGAGGAGTCTCACTTGGGTTACAAGAAACAGCAGTGTTTGTGTAACCCTGTGGCAATGCCTGGGAAAGAATCTCCTAACCCCACCCACCAGACATGTCACATAAATAAAAACATCTTTACCATATGGCAATTCCACTCACACCCATTTAATAGTCTCAAGAGAATGTGTAATCACATCCAATGAG